GTGTGGGAGAGGGTGATAGAACACCGATTGCGAGATATAACAGAGGTGTCCGAGAATCAATTTGGGTTTATGCCAGGCACGTCAACAATAGAAGCGATCTATCTTTTGAAAAGAGTAATAGAAAAGTATAGAGAGAAGAAAAGGAACATTCATATGGTGTTTATTGACTTTGAGAAAGCATATGATAGAGTGCCCCGGGATATAATATGGTGGGTGTTAGCGAAGAAAGGGGTGACATAAGGTTACATTGATGTGATTAGGGACATGTATGAAAGGGTGGTGACCACTATTAGATCGCCTGCTGGAGAGACAAATGAATTTTCTATCACTGTTGGGTTACACCAAGGATATACCTTAAGTCCTTATCTTTTTGCTTTAGTTATGGATGAGTTGACGAGAAATATCCAGGATGACGTGCCATGGTGTATGCTTTTTGCAGGCGATATAGTGCTAGTGAATGAGAATAGAGAAGGAGTTAATACAAAGTTGAAGATTTGGAGAAAAGCTCTTGAATCTAAAGGATTCCGGATAAGCAAAACTAAGACCGAGTACATGGAGTGTAAATTTAGTAACAGTAACAATGAAGGTAGAGGAGAAGTGAAGATTGAAAATCAAAAACTACCTAAGAGTGAATATTTTTGTTATTTAGGGTCGATTATCACAACAGCAGGGGAGATTAATGTGGATGTGGCCCATAGGATTAAGGTGGGATAGTGTAAGTGGAGAAGTGCGTCTGGGGTACTGTGCGATAAACGAATACCCACTAAAGTTAAAGGTAAGTTCTATAGAATGACTATTAAACCAGTGATGTTGTATAGGATGGAGTGTTGGGCAACCAAGAAACAACATATAGATAAGATGAGTGTGGTTGAGATGAGAATGCTAAGGTGGATGTGTGGCAAGACTAGGCAAGACAAAATTAGGAATGAGTGTATTCGGGAATGGGTAGGAGTAGCACTGATAGAAGATAAGTTGAGAGAGAATCGATTAAGATGGTTTGGTCATATTCAACGGAGACCAACAGAGGTAGTAGTGAAGAGATGCGATGCTATAACGGTAGATGGAAGTGTTAGGGGACGAGATAGGCCTAGATTAACATTGGTTATCATTTAGAGATATGGATCTACTTAATTTGACTAACGAAATGGCCTTTGATAGGGTCGCGTGGAGAAGAAGGATTCATGTAGCCGACCCCATTTGGTGGGACTTAAGGCTTGGTTTGGTTTGGTTACATCACGAAGATAGTGTACATCATTCCACCTAAACATAGATATGTTAATACTAACATTACAGTTGCCACATCGAAGTTATGCTCAGAATTTGCTTGACAAGTACATTCCTCAAAATATGAGTAAAAAAAAAGCAGTCGTAAATTATATTTGTTTCAGTCGCAATCATCTGAATTTTTTTGTACAAAAAACATGCATAAACAAAATAGTAATAACACAACAGCTACATTGAAATGATAGCCAACAGCTGATTGATCAATCTTTACATATGAGTTCAACAAAACAATTTGTCCATCTTTACATCCTTTAATAAAAAAATACTGTGAAGCCATATTTGACATCCGTCTTGAAATCAATGAATAAAAAATTGGTGAAGTCCTATTGCCACCCAAATTAGTGTCGTACTACCAGCCCATTCCCATCATGCCCTATTTTGTGGTATTGTTGATATGAAGGCATTGAAGATACTCTATGATCTTTGAATTATTAACGTCCATAAGGAAGTCAACTAACAACTTATGACGCACAACGGAATAGAACTTTGTACAGAAAGATCATATCACAAATCAGTTCTAATTGTAGCAAATACAATTAAGGATTTGATTCACAATTGGAAATGAAGCGGTAGAATGTTCCTTGTATGGACCGGTGGGTAAATAAAGTCGCTGCATGTACTTGATGATGAACATCTCACAGTCAAAAGTGCTACAAAAATAATTTAACATTAAATTTGTCAACAATGTAAGTAGGTTCGTTAAATGACTCATTCAATAGACACATAAATGTGATAGAGAGATTTTGGATTATTCATCCAGTTGTTGTAATGGCCTTTCGTCTAACATGTGGACGTCAAAGCTACGCACGTCTGTAACATATTCATTTCGAAATTGTAGTTGTAGTAACTTGTGCATAGTTTGAACCTGTTGCAGAAAGTGAAAGTTGGTTTATGTAAAGGATGTTAAAGTTTGTTGTAGTGTTGAGAAATCCACCAAAAGGACATACCAAAATTTTTTCCACATTTAGCTTCCTTTTGTTCAGTCTGGTGGATGGGAACGAGTCAAATAGGTAGGCTACACTGTCGACCATATCAATTTTAAGGCACAACCAATGTACCCTGCAACACATAAACACAAGTGCAGACATTGTTTAGAGGGCATGTGAACATATATTGGCTTTCATATTTACATTGAATATAATGGAATCGACATTAATATTACCCTCTAACATACATCTATCCCACCAGTGTGTCTGTCATGTCCAAAATACAATGTGACGATATTTTCATGGTACAGAGGTTGCGTATTTTTATTTAGAATGAAAGTCTGCATGTGTAATGCAGAAAGGTCATAGAGCCAAACATTTGATGAAATATGTCATATAGAAAACACAGCCTAGCTAAAACACTTACTTGCTGATAGATATACTGGAAAGAACCAATCAATATGCCTCTCGTCATTGTGTAAATCCCTTTGTCGATTAGTCAATTGCACCACCACCAAGTTGATTGGCTGGAACATTGTATGTAAGACATGAGGCAAGTTGATAAATAAGGTTTGCAAGTTATTAAAATGAAAAACACAGATTTATATGTGAGCTGCCAACACTTATAGTGTCGGATAGCCAGCCCCTGGTTTTAGCGTGCGCATGTCACGCCGGGTACCAACTTCACATGCCCTTCCATGAAGATTCATTGAAACAACGTCCCTACAAGGAACAATTATCCTTAGAATGAAAGTTATTTGACAATGGAGTGTCATTAAAAATTTGCCAGTAGTAAATGAAACTATACATTTCATTTTGCTATCGTCAAATACATAGTCGACAAGTTTTTCTTCCTCTGGCGATAAGAACCCTTCGCTCTCCAACATCCTCAACGACTTCTACTAAAATAAATAGTCAAGTAATAAAACACATTTGATAAAAAATATTTGAAGCTTACATAACAAGGTTGTTACTGATAAAAAATAACGTGAAGCGATGTATAACCTCTGAACCTCACAATTTTTCCAACTTGTGAACTTTGGTGAGGAGTTTGTTAGAAATGTGTAAAAAATATTACAGCAGTCATAAGTGCAAACATGCAAATGTTTAACAACAATTACAATACAAAACAAATCATTGTAAAATTAGTGAACCCATTATTGATGTGGGCATGAATTGGTTATTCAGAACTTGTGGGGCAGAAGGCAGTATTTTTACCTTGTTCACCTTATTCGCACCATCAACAACAAAAGGTGAAGTGATGTGGTGACTTGGAAGTTTTTCTTTTGCAAGTCGAGTACTTATTTTGCTATCGTTGCACAAATGCATATCCCTAACCTCAATGGGTTGAACTCCTCTTCCGCTTCCTCTTCCTCTTCCTTTGCATTTTTCTCTTCCTCTTCCCTTTCCTCTTCCTCTAACGATTCCACTTGCTCCCAATGGTTGGCTAATC